GAGTACAGGGGTCAGGTGCATAAAGACCATCTTGTACCTGCATGCTGGCAGACACACAAAAGAACATCACAGATTATTTACTGATACACCTCAGAGAGCTGCAGGAAGACAAGAGAGATTAAGCCCATCTTTTTCCAATAAAAAAGTTCTCCATTGTCTGAAACTCCCCAAAATAATTGCAGACTCTTCTCTAATGTCATTGTACAGAGTCCTACAGCTCCTATGCACAGAGCAACATATTGACAAGGCAATCACACCTAAGGGGAGCATTTATTTAAACTCTGAAACCCTCAAAACTAATACATGCTTTGGAAATGTGATCTTCTCCATAACAGTAGTATAGGTGGATTGATAAAACTAACAACATGTTAATTAACCAGATGGACTTTCAAAATATTCAACACCAAAAAACCAGCCCAGTGGACATGTCATGTAGATAAAATCCCTCACAGTGGTATTTTCAAGCACTGAATGGGATATAAAATCTAAAATACAAGTCTAAAGATGTCATGTGTGAATAATCTATGAAGGACTGACTCAGCCCTCCTGACAATAACAGATTCAAAGGCAGAATTATCCTCAAAATCACATTGGAGATTTTCACGAAAGAGTTGAGTAGTAAAGATTTAGAACACTTGCATTCTTCTTTCCTCTTCTGAATCTATTATAGATGAATGTCAGTCTTCAGCAAATCAATCATAGCACCATTCATGGGCTTTAGATTGATATAAGAACACCTAAAAGTTATTTTTAAAGGGCAACGTGGAGTCAAGCTCTGCAGGTTATACCATGGAAAATAAAGGAAAGAATGAAACATCTATGCCACAGGGGAGAATATTTCTGCTTGCTGAGGGTTCATCTTTCTTTTGGCAATAGGACAAAATAGATCAAAGAATATCTAAGTTTATATTATCCCTATTGGTTCATATGAAAGCATCTTCACTGTCATCTATAGATCGTTAACAATGCCAAATTCATTATCATTAGTTTTATAAACAACCTCATTTAAGTTATTTCTCATGAGCACTGAGGAACATCAGAAATGTCTTTATGTTGAAAGTGACTTTGGATTTGGTGTACCTGCATTTCAGACAAATGGAAACCCAATGAATCTTACTTTAAAGATGACCTTGCAGACCATACTCCATCTGTATGCTGCCCAGACTACAGCAGAATGAAGTAATACAAGACCAAGTCACATAACTACCTTCTGTACAGATACTAGTTTACAGTCATCCTCACACATACTCCAAGTCACCATCCTCAGCATATAAGAGAAAATATTAAGAATAATTACTGTATAGTAATTTATTTTTCATCTTCACAGTTTGGGAGGACCATAATAAAAACCTGGAGCACTGCAGAGCAGAAACTGTCAGGTTGATGAGGTGAGTCAACCTATTCCTACATAGTGAATGATGAGGATGAGAGGAATGATTCAGGATGAGAGGAAATGGCCTCAAGTTGCACCAAGGGCAGTTGAGATTGGATGTGAGGAAGAATTTCTTTGCTGAAAGGGTTCTCAGGCATTGGAAGGGGTTGCCCAGGGCAGTGGTGGAGTCCCCATCCCTGGAGGGATTGAAGAGTCGTGTAGACATAGTGCTGAGGGACATGGGTTAGTTGGGGACTGGTCAGTGTTGGGTTAATCATTGGACTTGTTGAGATTAAAGGTCTTTCCCAATCTAGGCAATTCTGGTATTCTGTGACCTGAATATCAGAGGTTTCACAAGGTGTGAAGAAAAGCTGTTTCAGACAACTTTCAAGTACCTTTTCAGACCCATCTCAGCCAAGCTGGGATAGGAAAGGTCAGCGGGCAAAAGGGAAGGGATCTAGTAAAGCATGGCCATGTCTGTGAGGAAGGCCAGCGGAAGAGGCATCCTACCAGCATGCTGCATCATGTGGGATCCCCTCCAGATACCTTCAACTGCGCCTCTGCTGCCCATGGAGATTCCTCAGTCACTCGAATCTGTGTTTTCACTAATACCTTTGGTAACTGAACAGAGGGTGGCATCAGACTAAGAGGGGCTTTAAGTCATTTAAGTTTGTATCAGAATTTTAAAACATTTTGAAAATCAATTTTATCATATTTACTACAGATGAATGGAAAATACTATACTTGTGAAGGAGGAACAAAGCACACACAAGCAAATAGTATTACAGCTAACCAGACAACAACAAAGAGGATATATATTTGATCTCAGCTTGAATACGGAAAAAAACACTGAGTGGAAAGAAACACCTTATTCTTGTGAGTTAAGAGTGTCACAAGCAGTTCACAGTATATTATTCTTCTGTTGAGGTGCTGTTGAGGCCTCCAAGGGAGTGCTACCTGGTTTTGGATACGGTATTTTGAGAGAATTTACACAAGTTGGAGAGTGTGCAGAACAGACTGGAAGAAAAGGGAAGCAACTAGGAAAATCTAAGGTTGAAATAACTGAATTTGTTGAAGCTAGACTAAGAACAGCCTGTATGTTTATACAGAGAAAGGTATTCACACATTCTGAGGCTGTCATAGTCAATAAAATACTAAAATACTCCCCAAGACTCCCTCCTCTTCACCCTGCCCCCATTCTGGTTTTCATACACATGCCTAAGTCAATAAAATGGGCTCATAATAGGAAGCAATCTTTTCACTTAGATGTGACATGTAAATATTGCACTCATGGCAAATGTGTGTATAATAGGCTACGATGCAATTAAAGAAACCAGAGTGAAAATTTATAAAAATCTCTACCAGATTTTTTTTATAACAGATGCATTTGGCAGAAAAGAAATTATTCACTGGATGCAGTTAAAGTATAGTAAATTGACTTTGAGAAAAATCACAAGAGTTTTCAATAAAAAGACAAAATAGCAACACTCTTTAAGACAGCAGGTGGTAAAACGAGATACAGGAATGTTCCCCCATATAAAGAAATAAAACAAAACAAAACTGTGTGATTTTACTGCTCTTTTCTATCAGAAAAACATCCCTGAAGGACTCAGAAAATAGACTCCTAAATTTGCTCATATGGAGTACCAGAGATTGAAAGGGAAACTTTAAAATAAATTCCTCAGAAAAAAGCAGAAAAGGGATGGTGTTGAGTCTTAAAAAACAGTTTTGTTTTTTTTCCTTTAGAGTATCAGTGCAATTTGGGGTGAAACCTGTGACACAGAGTCAACCACCAACTGATACAGGATATTTAATTAAATCAGGTAGTTTACATCTGAGCAATTTGCACCTGAATAATTAGTGGGACATTCTTCAAAAGCACTAAGAACCTGTCAGTAGGGCGTAGAAACCCAAGCCACTTTTGAAAGAAGGGACTCTGGGTTTTTAAAATACCACTCAAAAAAGTTCTGTAGTCTCTTGTGGAAAGTGGAGGTAAAAGCCTGAAGAGCCTAGAGGGAGTTACTGGGTGCTGGACACCTCTGCGAAGCAGCAGCCAGGGCTTTTATCACAAGAGATTCTAGTTCCTGCTCTCAGCTGAGGAGACTGGCAGGATGAATCACCAACTGGTCACCTTATCTGCCCACCACAGATAAGGCAGTGCCAGCTCAGAAGGGAAGTTTGTTCACCTGTGGTGGTGCCTTTCACCATTAACAAATTCACCAAGACAGAAGAGAGCAATGAAGTACAGAGCTCTAAGTCATGTTTCCGCAGTCAGGGCGATCTGCAGTCGAGTGCCCCATTTCAGCATCTCATCATTAAGAAGAGGACCCAGCTCAGGGACAGTCAGAAATGTTTTCTGCAAGGTCCTCGCACTATTCCACGGATGCCTGTGTAGCTCCCTGCTCCTAAATCCTCTACTCTGTGAGCGGAAACTGCTTGCCTACAACTGGTAAAGTCTCACTTAAACCTGAGTTCATCTTTTCTTGACTAGATCACTCCTTCACTCTGCAGCCAGCCCAGGAGCAACAGCTGGATTACAACATGACGATGCAAGGAGTGCAGTTATGTCCAGAATCTGAACAAATGCATCTGCAAGCATTAAAGATAGTTCAGACATTCAGACAATAGTTACAAAAAAGGCCTTGTCCTAGTTTTTGGCTGGAACAGAGCTAGTTTTCATATTAGTAGCTAGAAGAGCCTGTGGTTTGGTTTCAATATGAGATTTGTTACGAGAAGAACATTGATAACATACTGATGTTTCCAATTGTCGCTGGAAGTAAAAGGACTTCACGTTTTGCTAGTCTGCAGGTACAAGGAATATTAAAATTAGTAACCCAAACTTCTAAGGAGATATTCCATATCATATAACATCATGTTCACTAACGAGGGTTTCTCTCTCACTCTGTCTCTCACTCAGGTTCTTGCTCTTCTGGGATTGCAGTTTCAATTTTGGGATTGTTGCTCCTCCGGGACTGTTGTCTGAGAATGGGCTGGGCTTGTTTGGTGGGTGGTGAGCAATTGCACTGTGCATCATTCTTTTTTATATTCTATTATTATTATAATTGTTTTATTATTACTATTATTGCCAGTCTTACTGTCATTATTATTTTCAGTTTTACTTTATTTCAATTATTAAATTGTTCTTATCTCAACCTACGAGTGTCCTTAACCCCTCCAATTCTGTCCCCTGAGGGGAGGAGAGTGAGCGAGCAGCTGCATTTGGCTGCTAGCCCTGTGAAACCATCACAACCATGGAAGAGAGGGTGGGAGATGGAGGCCTGAAGTCTCCTCCACCTTTCATAGTGATGCTCCATTCGCAGCCGCCCAGCACACAGCTGCACGTCCTGCTGTACTCCGGTGCTGCAAAGGCATCTGAAGTGATGCTGAAAGGGTAATAACCCCACGCGATGCTATGAGTAATCCTTGCCGGAGGTTAACAGCGGGAGGCGAGGAGGTTGAGGCGTTTATAAAAGGAGACTGTGAAAGGCAGAATCAGCAGCAGGGTTGGCCTTTTAGTCAGTGTTCACTTTCAGCTGCTGTATTATCAGAGGAGAATGAGAGAGGCGTGAGGGAAGTCTGGGGAGGAAGGAGAGGGGAGAACTGTGAAAACAGAAGACAAAACACCTACCTGACAGGTGCTCCCCGGGACTGAGCAGGCTTCAGCATAACGGTGATGGTAGTGTCGGTCTCGTTCAGGGGGGAGTCCGTGTCGTATTCCGGCATCGATGGTGCTACAGCAGAACAAAGAGCAACACATTAGTTATACACCAGTTACTGCCTTTGGTAGTGATGGCAACATAATATTAACATTTCTTGGAGACCGTTTAACATTTCTCAAATGAAACATCAAAATACTTCCCAATGTTATGACCAAAACTGTCAAAACTGTTTAAATATTTGTACACTCTTTTCCTATTAAAATTCAACAGGAATCGGACAACCAAATCTTCAAGCTGGTTTTGAAAATCCTGTCTTGAATTTTTAAGACTTCGTAATCCTTTGAGATGGGATCAGTCCTTTCATTTTAAAGGTGAAGGAAGAAAACTGCACAGATATTAAAAGATACCTCTTAGAATGAGTGAATCAGTGGCAGAGCTAAGACCAGCACCCAGGAAACCTGGCTCCTGGTCACTGTTCTGCTCCCTGGATTAGACCTCCCACATTTGAGACAGAGTTTTTAGTATATGGACTTAAGCTGTGTCTCCTTAATTAGCTGGAAGATGTGTTATGAAGCACAAAAGCATGAGAAGAGAGGAGCATGAATTAGCCAGGTTGTTTTAGCACTCAAAGCCATGACATTTGACCCCAGTGCTTTAGTGATGTGGAATCAACAGGCAGCTGCACAGCTTCCCATGGCATGCTCAGGCAGGAGCCAGCCACAGGATCACCATCACTGAGCTGACATGTTCCCCAAAGAGCTATGGAAAACCACTGAATATTTACACTTAGCCAAACTTTAGTGTCTGCTTGTGTTTTGTTATCTGCTACCAGGGTCATTTAATGAAAGTAGGACTGAATAGAGGAAAGAATAACTTTCTTTCCTCAAGAAAGCTATTTTACTTGTGTTACTTCGCCCTTCCCCAATAGCAGATGTGTGTTTGGGATGTAATTTCTACTGTGGAAGAACTGAAGAGTTCATGAAATCAGAGCAGCATCAAATTTATTCCAATGATGCAAGTTGTGTTGAAATAACTTTAAAGTATAAAGCAAACAGAAGAATTCACACGAATGGTTCGTCTGTAACTCACAAGGGCAAGCTGCATGGTAGGGGTCCCATATCTAATCCTCTCACAGCAATTTCCACTGCAATCCTGTTTACAATCAGGATTTTTATCTAAATGCCTGAAAACTGACAAGAATGGTGCTTGCTATTATCAGCTCAGCTACTGACTTTTCTGTCAATAAGCTGGCTATGAGTTGGGAATGAATGTCAATTCCTTAACGAGGATTTCTCTATAAACAGTGCACTGCATCAAGGGGAAGCAGCGGAGTCATTTAAAGCAGACACATGTCAACAGTGCTCTTCTACACCAGGGATCACCGTAGTTGCTGGAGATGTCACAAGATGTCACAATAAGAAATGTCCAGCACCTGCTCTGGCCAGAGTGGATGGTGTTCCAGCACAACATGGTGCTGCAAAAAGGTTGCAGGAGCAGTGTGGACACCAGAAACAGGCTGGGCTCTGTCTTTGCAGGATCCATGATCCTCCTTTGAAGCAGCTCCTTCTAGCCCAGCCACCGCATGGCACTGGTGCCACTAAATTGTTTCTGGGATGTTAGCTAGGTGGGATGTGTCCTCCTGGCTGTCCATGACACCTCTTTAGTTCTCTTCTGCGTAAAACACTACACCTGCCACAGACAATTTTCAATCTTACTTTCAGACACCACATAGTTAAGTAAATGGAAGAAACACGGGTCTTGGCAAGACTAGCTAAGGGTGTTGAGTAGAATTCAGCCATCAGAGGCTGTATTACTCACAAGACTCTGAAATAAGATATATATAAAATAAGCTTTCTTATGTACTCAACATGGAACAGCTGTGTAGCACCCCAATAAAACTACAATTGGTAGTGATCTCTAAAATAGCAAACGTTGTTCATCAATTTAATGCCTATTTTGCAAGATCCCAGTCCTGCCCAAAGAGAAGTCCTCAGGAATTCTGCCATATAATTGTGATTAAGAAAAAAAAAACACACACACACAAAAAAAACAAAACACAAAAACCCCCTCCAAAACATATAGACACACACACTCTGCCATATAATTGTGATTAAGAAAAAAAAACCACACACAAAAAAAAAAAACAAAAAAACACAAAAAACCCCTCCAAAACATATAGACACACACATCGATAGAGCACAGATGTCTTTTCATGTGAAACTATCTATACCCTTACAAGGATATTCCAGTCCATGCAAACATCCTTCTTCTCCCTGCTAACCTTGGGACTGCCTCCCAGAGCAGCAGAGAACAGGCAGAGCTATCAATGTAACAACACTGCAGGAAAATCCAGGATTGTCGTTTCATGGTGTCACTGACTTCATTAAAAACTTACCAACACTGGTCCTCTCTCCCTTATCACCTCAACATAGCAAGGATCTTGCTTTGATTTCTTCTGTCTTCATTCATTAGAACAAATGAAAAACATTATCTTGGCTGTTTTTTTTCAGTGTATCATTTTTATCCCAGAAAGGACTGTATTAGTGAAATTGGTGTGTAAATGCATCCTTTGTTTCACTGGAGCTGTACAAAGCTAATAACAGTCGGTGCCACTGCTGCAAACAGCATGAAGGCAATGGTAAAGTTCTCTGTAATGCTTATTCTGCACATAAGATTTATTATTTCATTGTTTTATGACATGATGCAGATCACACGATCCGTAATCACAGCAGAAGCATCCTCGCAATACCAGGGTGGGCAAACAATCCACCCAGTAATTTCCAAAGTACATGTACAGGACTGACAATGTGACAAGATAATCTAATGTCAGAGACTTCCCTAATGCCTGCAAGGAGCCTGTGCCTACCTATTGTGAACCAGGTGTTTGGAAGTTCAGTGTGCACACAGTTAATAATCACACAGGATTCTAACACTAAATAAAATGCAAAGAAACTGAATAAGAGGGAAAAAGCACTATCATTACTGTGTTTTTTAATTTCTCCAGTCACATATCGTGCCTTCCCTTCACAGCAGGGCTGTGCAAGCCTTAACAGTCCGGGAAGCTGTGACCACAGTTAATGGCTTTACTTCGTGTGGTGGAGACGTCAGCTTTTGCAGTAACCAAGGGTTCAAACCCTGCTGATGGTTGCTGGAGGGAATGGAATATATTTTACTTCTTTAAAATTTCCACTGTCACTTACAGCTAACAACTTATTTTTTATTAACCAATTTTGAAATAGGACAATGGAAAATACGCACTCTTGTGCACTCTCTTCTATGGCACTCAGCCATCATTTCAAGCATTACAAGTGTCCTGAGCATCCCAAACACTTATTCTGGCTTTACCAAAAAAATAGTGAAGGTATTCCAAAAAATGACAGTTTCAAATTCTGTTAGAGGATCTATTTTAGTGCTATCGATTAAAAGTTAAAATAAAAGTCTATATATGACTGCCCAGTGTCATCTCTGCCATCCTTTTATCCATCTTTTTTCTGATATCTAGGCTAAGTTCCTTTTTGTACTAAAGATACACACATCTTCTCTTTGCAATGCCTCCTTAGTGTCTTCATATACTTGTTAGCCTACTACCTCAAGCCCTCCCTCTGCCCTCACTCATAAAGAAAACATAAAAACAGCTTTCCTCCTTTATTTTTGGTCTCCTTGCACTATTAATTCAATCACTTCATTACATCCATTTTGGTGCATTCTGAAAATAAAAGCCACATTAAGAGCTTCCCCAGTCACACAAACAACACTAACAATCATTATAGGGATAGTTTATTTGTAGAACTAATGAAGGTTCTCATTTAAAATGCTCCACAAAGATATTTGTGGATATTTAAGACACCCACAAATTAACCACTGCATTTGTAACCCAAACACACACAGATACTGGATTTGGGCTGGTATAAAAGTGTTCCCTATAAAACTTGTAGAAGAGACACTAAGCTGACAACCTTTTTATTGCTTTATGCATCAGCTGTGGGTCTAAAGAACAAAGCCCTAGAAAGTTCTTTTTTTCTTCTTCTCCAGAGCAGTACCTGAAATCTTAGTTGCAATCCGTGTTGTGATGGGTGGCCCAAAGCCCTTGACTGTGCTGGCTTTGATGGTGAATGAATACGTAGTCCCTGGGTATAATCCTACAAAGAGGTGATGTGTTTCATTCCTTAGTTTGAAGACTTTCCCTCTTTGGCTGGACAGGTCAGCACTGGGATCCAGAGACCCAACGGCCTTGTATGTAATCTGCAAATGAAGAACAAGGAAAGTAAGGTAATAAAGGGCCTTCTGTATCCGGCCTTTCTCTGCTCCCCTATTTTGCCATCTTTTGAGACTAGACATTGAAAATACAAGGACAGATATTTCAGTATCTCTATTTGGATGCTGGCAAACAAACATGACAATTTTTCCAAGGCTTTACTTTGGAAAAAAACTAATTTCTTCTCTCCACTAAAATCTCAGCATGTGCTGATTTACAACAAAAGATGCAAAAATTGCTTTTTGTTCCAAGTCTCAGAACTTCTGCAGCCAAACCAGAGTGCACAGCACAACCAGCAGAATCTTCATGAGAATTTCCCACACAATCCCCCACAATATACAAAAACTTTTGGTGCAAATATGGATACATTTTCCATCAAGTATTTTTTCCTTCTGGCAAATGGTCTTCTCAAAAGGCTGCTGAAAACAATGGGAGCCTTTTGCTGATAACAAAGGTTTTGGAAGTCATTTCCTGTGCTGAAGAGAAGACACTGAAATGAAACATTGAAATGAAATTGTATGTTTAAATGAAAGAAATACCAGGTCTTTAGACAAAAGCCTCTCTCTCAGCTTGTAAGCCACCCTCTGATATCATTTCCCTCCCCATGTTTTTAGCCTTGGTTTGCAGGTTTACATGTGGTACCATGCCTGGTTTTCACCTGAGAGAATAAGTCAGTAGGGTTCCAGACCTGGACAGCCTTTCATGAATACCCCACTGCCAGTGCTAACACAACTTTAGAGGAACCCAAGCTGAAGGTCTACCTTTGAATTTTTGCTGGAGCTCCATTATGCTTACCCATGGCAACCCTGTTGATATACAGACACTTGCAAGTACAACTCATGACTTATTTACCAGCTAGTTCTTTGCCTGCATTCCAAATTCAATCCAAAGGCAGCTCAATTTCAACTGAGCTGTCAATATAATATAACGTGCTCCGCTGCTCTCCTAACCTTTCCTGATATTATGGGATCTTCACTTATTTGTAATGAAACACTATGAATAAATCAATCTATGTTAATACACAAAGTCTTCAATTTTTTATGAAGGACTCCACAAGAATCTAATTCCCAGCTTTGCTGAAAGAGCCTTTGAAAATTGTGAAGTCGCTTGCTTTATGACAGGAGGAAAATGTTGCATTCTGAAGAAAAATAAATAGACAATGTTTAAAAAGGGAGGCTTTAATAATAACAGGATAAATAAGAGATACAGACTGATGCTACTGACAGCAGAGAAGGGTGTGAGCGTGTGAATCCTATTATTTGGACAGAGAAGAACAATTTAGACAGAGCTGCCACCCAAGACGAGGCAGCGTAACAGAGAAGGGCCATGAGTTACACCAGGCTCACAGAGCAGCAAGAAATTACAAAAGCAGAACTCCTAAAGGAATTATAATTAAACAGCTTGCAGGTGATTACACTGAAAATCTACTAATTTTTCCAGGAATTACAACCTGGTTTTTAAATTTTATTACTCGCTAGAAACCTGAGAAAGAGAGAGATCTTAGCACAATGGTCATTAAAACAAACAAAAAAATAAAGGCAGGGAGGAGATATCTTCACACTATCTCCTTAGGTAAGGTGAGGACCATGCAACAGAGCATGGCACAGGGCAATATTTGACAATTCTTCTTGTATCAGGGAAGAGAATCTGCATAAAAACATCATTGGACTCAGAGCGAGCATCGAAGTCCTTAAATTAAGAGACATGACCCAGTTAATGCCATAGCCAAACCCAGAAAGAAAAAGATGTTTAATCTGTTAGTTAGGAATGAACAGATGCAATCTGTATGTTCTAGCTGCAAATCAAGTGCTAGAGAAATAGCAATAACAAAATGCCGAAGGGGAATCAGCAATATAGGAGTTTGGGAAAAAGGAAAGGAACTTTCTACTGCTGCACCACTGAAAACCACATTCACAGGACGACCAGGCAGTAGCTATGCAAAATCAATGCTATTTATTTTCAAGCATGTTATACAGAAGGCTTTAAATATAAGTGGAAGATACATTTGTCCTTATCTCCATATAAATAAAAGTATTCACCTACCTTCACCAGTCCCAAAATCACTACAAAAAGTAATTTTTCTTCATTAAAAAAACTATCCCCTTAAGGTAAATAGAGCTAGAAAAGCTTTCAAGAGAAAAAAAAGTCAATGATTAAAAAAAAAACCACCAAAAAAACCCCCAGGTTTTCTTTTTTCTGTTGACTATAGCAGAGAATATGAGTATGAGAGACCTTAAAACAACCTGGGTCAACTCACAAGAAGGAGAGAAGGAGAAACTATACTTCAGAGAGAGTACATCCACAATTTGAGGTTGTAGCATGGGTCAATTTTCAGAGACTACTCACTCAAATCAGGCTTCAATATTTCCCACAACTTTTTTTAAGGCTACATAAACTATGGTAAAGGAAGATTCGTGGTATAGCGAAATCACAAGAGTACTGTTTCTGCAGCAGACTCTCTATTCCAATCACTATGGACCCTCTTAAAGCAGGTGATGTGCAGACATTTAGAGAAAGCAATCTTTTTCCCCAAAACTTTAACCATTTAACTTTAATACATGAACAGTACCTGGAGGCAACACAGAGAACAGAAAAACAATAGTACAAGTTGTGCATGTGGTGCGGTTTCATTTAGTCCACACAGAGAAGTATTTAAGGGACTGGTAAGCAGAACAGTGTCATCCAGATACAGCTGGTTACCAGTTCATGGCTCTCATCAGAGTTAGTCCCAAACCCTTCTCTGCTTTCCACAAGAAGAGCTCTGAATGACTGTAGTGAGGGAAGTACAGATGGACACTGCCAGGAGACCCTACGGGCTGTGTGCCCACCTCTGCTGATGACTTCAGTCATGACCACGATAAGCTGATGTTCATAGAATCATAGAATCACAGGATGGTTTGGATTGGAAGGGACCTTAAAGCTCATCCAGTTCCAACCCCCCTGCCAGCAGCAGGGACACCTTCCACTAGACCAGGTTGCTCAAAGCCTCATCCAACCTGGCCTTCAACACTTCCAGGGAGGAGCAGCCACAGCTTCTCTGGGCAACCTGGGACACTGTCTCACCCCCCTCACAGCCAAGAATTTCTTCTTCAGATCTCATCTCACTCTCCCCTCTTCCAGTTTAAAGCCATTTCCCCCTGTTCTGTCACTACCTGCCTTTGTAAAAAGTCCTTCCCCAGCTTTCTTGTAGTCCCTTCAGGTACTGGGAGGCCACTAGAAGGTCTCCCCAGAGCCTTCTCTTCTCCAGACTGAACAGCCCCAACTCTCTCAGCCTGTCCTCACAGCAGAGCTGCTCCAGCCCTCACATCATCCTGGTGGCCTCCTCTGGACTCGTTCTAACTGGTCCATGTCTTTCTTGTGTTGAGGGCTCCAGAACTGGACACAGCACTCCAGGTGGGGCCTTACGAGAGCGGAGTACAGGGGGAGAATCCCCTCCCTTGACCTGCTGCCCAAGGCCAACTGTATCCTGGGCTGCAAACGCACATTGCTGGCTCGAGGTCTCTGAGTCTCCATTTTGCTGTTTATGAAATAAGGGACTGACCTTATTATTTTATGAAATAATGTTTGCACTCTACACAAACATTTTTGTGGTTAAGGGTTTCTATGGATCTCTCTAATTGCTGAGTGCTGATGGTTAAGCAGCAAAAGCACAGGTGAAACAGATGATGTAGCCCTGGAAACAGAGCCCTCTGGTTGGAAAAGCAGGCAAATTCTCTTCCAGCTCAGAAAAAATAAACAGATAAATAAATAAATAAATTATCTTTCAAGCGAGATATCTGCTGTTTCTTAAATACCAGTGCCACCCCAAGTGTGGAATAACATCCATGTCTCACCCTATTCCTCTATGGACCTCCCAGTTTAGCTAAAGCAGCTGAACTTTGGCTGCAATTAGAGCTGTTCTTGCCAGCAGAGTCCCCAGAGCCCTGGCTGCTCCCTGCCCATGCAGCACACATCCATACTGCTCCAGCCATGGGCTCCTCAACCAGCTCACCAACATTTCTCATAGCCAGAACCATCACCATTAGCTGGAGCTGTTGGTATTTCCTCACTGGAATATCTGGAAAGTGCTACACTGTCTGTGTGTGTGTGTGTGTGTGCATGGCTGTGTCAGGGGATTTCTCCTACAGAAAGAAAAGATGCTGTAATTTATCGCTTACATGTTGGTCTTCATATAATAGTCTAAGAAATTGCCACTCTTTAATTGATTCAAACTAAAAGTTCTGAAGCAAGAGAAATTTCAGGGAATCCGACACTGAAAAATTTTCGAGAAGAAAATGGAAATTTCCAACTCTAGAGTCAGTTATAAACGCACAGAAACATATCTGGAGAAGAAATACGGCACTTTCCTAGAATAAGAAGGATGCTGAAAAAAATCTTGATGCATGCTCTTCGAGTTGGTACGCTGAGTATTTATCTTAATTTCTTGTTCCAAGTGCCAAAGCATTTCATTACAAAACAAACAAGAGATTCTAATCTAGAAAATAAGATGACTCAATCACTAGAAAACAGCTGTTCTAAATTATTTTAAAATAATCTGTTTTAACAACAAGCCATGGCATATACTACTTCTGTATTCTAAAAAAAAAAAAAAAAAAAGGAACAATAATATTAATTTAAACATTTAAAAACCTAGACAAAAAAACAAACAAGAAAATACTCAAAAACATATTTAAGAATTTCACTCTGATTGAAAATATTTAAAATATTTGTTTTGATTCTGATGCAGAATAAATGCAAATACAAAGATGAGGAAATTTCTCACAAGTCACTGTTTTTTAACCAGTTCCCTGGTTATTTCCTGCACAGCAGGCAGCTGTCATGAAAGTTGTCTTTCCTCTGCAAACTGGAATGGTTATCCAGAGTTAATATAGAGTTTACATATCAACTCTAGGGCAACTTGATGGTCCCAAGGAAAAGTTTTAGTGGCCAGTACTGCTACAGTTCTAATCACAGCAAACATTGGGGTTGGCTAAAAGACAGCAAAACT